CCATCCTGCCATACGCACACACAACGGTCTGTTCCACCATATATGCTCACATCCATGCCACTGTCCATACATGAATACCATCCAATCTCATACACACACACACACACACACAGTCGTCTATCCCACCGGATATACATACACGCATGCATACCACCATCCATCCTGCCATATATACAAACACGCACATGACCTCCATATATATATGTACTCCTCCATATATACATATGTACACACCACCGTCCATTCTACCATCCGTACATGCATACCACCCATTCTATATATACACACATGCAACCTTCCATTTCATCATACATGTATACATACAGGTATACCACCATCTATTCCACCATACGTGCATACATACATGCATTCCACCATCCATCCATATGTACATGTTTACCACCATCCATTCCACCAGATCTGCATACATACATGTATACCACCATCCATTCTACCATCCATCCATATATATATATATCACCATCTATTCCACCATATGTGTATACATACATGCATTCCACCATACATACATACATTCATGTATACTGCCATCTATTCCATCATCCATATATACATACATGTATACCACCATCCATTCTACCATCCGTATATACATACATGTATACCACCATCCATACATACACACGTACATCTATACCACCATTTATCCCACCATATGTGCATGCATACATGCATACCACCATCCATTCCATCATACATACATACATGCATGCATTCCACCATCCATCCATACGTACATGTATACTGCCATCTATTCCACCATCCATATATACCTACATGTATACCACCATCCATTCCACCATATGTGCATACATACATGCATACCACCATTCATCCCATCATACATACATACATACATACATGTATACCGCCATCTATTCCACCATCCATTCATACCTACATGTATACCACCATCCATTCCACCATACGTGCATACATACATGCATACCACCATTCATCCCATCATACATACATACATACATGTATACCACCATATAGTCCACCATACGTGAACACCACACACACTCCACTATCGATCCCTCCATCCCTTTCTTTGTCCATCCCAGCATAAAAACATACATGTGAGGGGACTTCACAAAGTTCATAGAAGAATAGAAATGAAGTGTGTTTATCTTGATGCAAAAGTTTTGAAATCCATGCATAGGTTTTTCATACTACACATCTTCCTTGAACTTTTGAAGTCCCCTCATACGTATATATAACCAACCAGCCATCCTCCCATCCCTTCCTCCATCCATCCCATAATACAAATATACATTAGTAAACACAACTGTTCATCTCTTCTCTTCCTCCACCCACCCCTTCATCCTTCCACTCATCCCACCATCCATGCACCCATGCGACCATCCATCCACTCACCCGATCACCTTTCCATCCCTCCATCCATCCCACATCCATCCATCCACCGAGCGAACTCCCCCTGCTGGCCTTCAATTACTTCCCCCGACTGCCCTTTCTCCCCTCCCCCATGACCTTCGCACGCTTTCTTCCCTCTGAACTGTAACACCCACCCACACACACACACACACACACACACACACACACCTATGTGTGTCTCAGCACCAAATAAGCCTCAGCCCACCTCCCAGGCCAAAGTGGTTCTCCTGCCACTGCCGCTCCTCAGAGACCCCCGTCGCTTCTTTCCCAGCAGGTGTCTCAGTATGTTCCTGAAGATTTGTTCGTGGGTGGTTTGCTTACACTGTCTCCCTGACCACGCTAGAAGCCCCATGAGAACAGGGGTCTGCCTGGCCGTTAACAGGGGCTCTTGAAAGAGCTGTGGAGTAGCACTGGCTGGGTGGGGAGAGAGCCTCGTGTGCACGGCATCGGGCAGGTGTTTGTAGGGATTTGCTCATGAATACAACAGCCTCTCACAGCTTACCATCCACAGAGAGGAAGAATGTGAGAATCTTAATGCAGGATATGAGTCATGAAAGAGAGCAGAAGGAAATGCACAAGAAGGGCCTGAGTGAACGCTGGCCCGGCCCAGCCCTAACTGCTCAATGTCAGATAAGCCACTCTGTCTCCATGAGCCTTAATTTCCTCACCGATGAAATGGAGCTAATAAAACTAGAGAGAGGAGAAACACTATTACCATAAAATTGCTTTAAATTGTTCAAATATATCTTCTGAGTTCGGCAAAAAAGTTTTTTTAAATAGATAAAATAATTGTAAGAACTGAAATCAGTGTGATTTATTGATGCAATTTTTTTACAGACAGAGCCAAGTAATAGAAATTAATAAACAAAAAATATATGTATTAAAACTGGGCTTGTCATGGAACTGTGCGGATTAAATTAGATGAGATGCAGGGTGTCCACGGAAAAGGAGCTGGTGGAGGGTGACTGCTCACCGAGTCCTTGTCTCATCATTCTGTTGGGATGTTTTGGGGTAATCTTAGTTGATGTTCAAACTAAACTATGAGAAATGCATAGGACCCCTTATATTTGAACACTGCAAACATTAGGTATATTTTTTAGCACTTTTATATACTCTTCCAGTTTCTATGGCTATGTAACAGATTACCCCACACACAATGGTATGCAGCAATCTATTATGCTCCCAGGTTCTGCGATAGGGCCCAGGGGAATAGCTTCTCCACGCTCTCTGATAACTGGGTTCTCAGCCGAAGACCTGAGAGCTGAAGGACTGGGGGTTGAAATCATATGAGCGCACATGCGTTCGTTCACGTGTTTAATACCGATGCTGGCTGTCATCTGGGGGCCTCAGTTCCTCTCCCTGTGGGCTGTTTTCAGGTCAGCTTGGACTAGATTGAGCTTCCTCACAACATGGTGGCTGGATTCCCAGGGCGAGCATCTGGAGGGGTGAGAGCCCGGTGGGAGCTGTATCTTTTGGACAGCCTAGCCTCAAAAGTCCCATTGCAACACATCCAACTCATCCTCTTTGTGGAGTGGTCACGAGCTCCCCAGATTCAAGGGGAGGAGACATAGCCCCTACGTCTCAGTGAGAGGAGTGTCAGTCACACTAAGAGAAGAGCATGTGAGATGGGGAGATGAACACGGATACAAGCTGCCACACACCCGTTAGCTCATATACCCTCGGTACGACCTGTGAAGAAGGCACTGTTCCTAAATCCATTTTACGACAGAGGGAATATAAGCTCGACAAAGTCAAAAGTTTTACCCAACATCGTAGCTAATCAGTAACAGAACTAGGATTTGAACTGGAGTCCCGCAGACTCCCAAGCCACTCCCTTTACGCACACTGCATGCAAATTTAGAACAGGGATGCCAACGGTAGAGTTTATTTTCTAAGATACTTAACTGACTACATCCTTCCAGAGTGCTGGAGAGCCAGGGTGCTTTGGTGAATCATGGCTTGTCCTGGTGGCATTCCAGCAAAAATAGTGGCCACGAGGTGGGAAACGAGGAGTGCTTGATTCAAGATGGCGGGATGGGGTGTGGGCATCCAGACAAGAAAGGTTGGTTAAAGCCAGAGTAGGAAGGGACCTCAAATCCAAACAAGGGAATTTAGACTCCCCTGGGGCAATGGGAAGACACCCAAGGCTCTCACCAGGTCTGCCAGGTAGTCAGAAAAATTCATCGGGAACAGTGTGTAAGGTGGATGGAGGTAGCACACAGAGCCGGTGTAGCTGCAGTGATGGGTGGGTGGCTGGTGGGGCCTGAGGGAACAGAGACCTTGGTAAAATAGGGTGATATTACTGAGGAAGAGCCTGGGGACTTTGGGGACCGAGGAAGGAGAGCCTCCCCCTCCCCCAGGCTCAAGGGCTAGAGCTCAGGTGATCAGGGTAGGAGACCCAGCCATGCAGGAAGGAGGCGTGGTGAGGGGGTGACTAAGGCCCTCCGGGCAGAAATGCCCAGCAGACTGAAACTGCGTCCTGGAGCTCCGGAAACAGCCAGAGCAGATGTGAGATCGTGGTCAGCCGCTAGGTCAGGGGGGTCGTCAAGGGATGTTATGGCCGAAAGAGAATCCAGGGCTCTTGAAACCGAGCACACAGGCAGGCCAGTGGTCCTCAATCTCCAGTGTGCGGTAGGACCTGCCATCGAGAGTGGATCGAGAACCCAGAGACTCTCTCGCACTCTCTCAATAATCTTTGAAACTGGTCTGGCTGTGGCAGTAGTTTCCCAAACCCATCTTTGAAACTGGTCTGGCTGTGGCAGTAGTCTCCCACACTTCATCTCCAAGTCCCTGCGGGGACCCGGCGCCACTCCTCGTCCCAGCAGGCAGGCAGGCCACAGGCAGCAGTTGCCCATGTCTGCTCTGCTCCCCGCCTCCCTCCGGCTGACTGAATACGAGCCAGAATAAATGTTCCCCTCCGACGCGCCAAGGGGGAGGCATGTTTTTAAAAGAGCAATATGGTGTTTATGCTCACACATATGTGCGTCCTCACACGCAAGGCCCGGGGTGGGGAATCGTCTTCACACCTGTCAGTAAGCATTCCGGAGCCCCCAGCCCCCAGCGTGCCCACCTGCCCTCCCGCTGCGAGCACAGAAGCCTGGCCGTAAGACCCACCCTGCATCTCACACCCCAACCCCAGCCTGCCTGCCATGCCTGTCACAGCACCATAAGGCAGGGCCAGAGTGCACGGTCCGAGTTCAAACCCTGGCTCTGTCCCTCAGCTCTGTGACCTTGGACAAGCTAATTAACTTCTCTGAGCCCATTTGAGCTTTTTCTGGTTGTAAAATATGTGAAACAATGACTAGCCCTTCATGGTTGTTGGGTAAATCGATTCCAGGATAGGTGGGCATAAATGGATATAAAACCCAAAACCATGAAGCAGGGCTGGTCGCGGTGGGGCTTCCCGGGTGACCACGTGATGTTATGGCCCAGCCCTGGGCACATCACAGTGACGGCCTAGGGCGTGGGTGGCGGCTGATGTGGGCTGGTCCTAGCACGTGTCCCCTACCTGTGGTCACTGGTCTGCTGCCCCTGGAGACCGAGCTCGGGCCCCGATTGTTGCTTGTGCTCTCCTCCTGCAGACATGGGGAGCTTCGAGGAGGGCGAGAAGCACCAGAGCGTGTCCCACGGAGAGGCAGCGGTCATCCGAGCCCCACGCATCGCCAGCTTCCCCCGCCCGCAGGTGACGTGGTTCCGGGAAGGCCGCAAGATCCCACCCAGCAGCCGCATGTGAGCACCCACTCTGGGGAACCAGGGACGAGGC